AAATCTTGGGTTTTGTTTTGTTTTTGTTTTTTTAGTTGTTTAAAAGGCTGGGTCTGAAGACATGGTTTACCAGTTAGAAGCACGTGTTACTCAGGGCGTCTAAGTTTGGTTCCCAGCACCTACCTCAGGCAGCTCATAATCTCTTTTAACTCCAGTCCCAGGAGATTCTGGGGTACCTGCACAAATGTGTTGCATATATACTCATGCAGGCACAATTTTTAATTTTTAGAACATCTTTTTGGGTCTGGAGAGGTCGATCAGTGGTTAAGAGCGATTGCTACTCTTTCAGTGACCAAGGTTGAGTGTCCTATGTACAACACCATCACAACCACCCCTGACACCATGGCTTGCAAACATCTGGAACTCCAGTCCCAGATGATCCAGTGCTCTCTTCTGGCCTCTGTGGTCACTGCATGCTAATGGGGCAGACAGATGTGCAGGCAAAATGCACATTGAAAAAATTAAATCTTAAAAAAAAAAGATGGATGAGATGGCACTTGTCTGTAACCTTTTTGCTAGGAAATTAAGACAGATCACTGGAGATCCAATCTACAATCTCTGAACTTCAGAATATTTGAGAAACTTTGTCTCAAAAAGGAGAGGATGTAGAGACGGCTCAATGGGTAAGAGCTGTGATGGCTAGTTTTTGTCAACATGACACAAAGTAGAGTCACCTGGCAAGAGGAAAACTCAACTTGAATAATTGCTTCTATCAGACTGCCCTGTGGGCATGTCTCTCGGGGCATTCTCTTTACTAATGATTAATGTGGCAAGGACAGATGGTGACAACCCTGAGCAGGTGGTCTTGGGTTGTATAAGAAAGAAAGCTAAGGGGAGTGAGGGGAGATGGAGAATTTCTCCGTGTCAAGAGCATGTACTGCTCTTGCAGAAGTCCAGAGTTCAATTCCTAGCACCCACATCAGGTTGCTCAAAATGGCCTGTAACTCCAGCTCTAGTAGTATCCAGTCAGTACCTCTGACCTGTGTGCACTGGCACTCACATGCGCATACCCACACATAGACACACACTTGTGCATATAAGTTAAAGTAATGAAGAAAATAGAGGAAGCTAAGGAAGCCAGTAAGCATCATCTCTGCGTGGTCTCTGCTTCAGTTAGCGTCTCCAAGTTTCTGTCTTGAGTTCCTGCCCTGACTTTCCTCAATGATCTGTCATGACATGGATTTATTACGCCAAATAAATCCTTTCCAAATTGGTTTTTGTCAGTGTTTTATCACAGGAACAACAAGCAAACCAGGACAAGTGAACTAGGTCAGAACCTATCACTCTTGCAAGGGACCTGAGTTCAGTTTTCTTTTTTATATATAGAATTTATTTTTTTATTTTATATGCATTGGTGTTTTGTATGCATGTATGTCTATGTGAGGGTGTCAGATCCCCTGGAACTGGAGTTACAGATAGTCCTGATCCTCTGGAGGACTCATCTTTCCAGCCTTCCCTTAGTTCAGTTTTCAAAGTCTTGATGCAGTGCCCCCCAACAACTTGAAAGAACAGTTCCAGGGGCTCTGATATGCTCTTCTAGCCTCAGAGGGCATCCTCAAATGTGGTATGCACATACATACATATAAAAAATAGTACATATACACATATATATCTATACATATTTTAAAGTAAGATGACTCAGTGAGTAAAGGCACTTGTCACTAAACTTGAGTTAGTTTGATCCTAAGATCCCATACAATGGAAAGAGAAAACGAACTCCTGAAAACTGACCACTAAACTCCACACATGCATCCACACACACACACATGCACTTGCACAACATTTTAATATAATAATGTTCACATGCACACCAAACACACCACACACAAAAACCACAATATCTATTTATGAAAGAATGTAATGCTAGATAAGTTAATCCCTGCTCTCAAAAACTCATAGGGGTTTTTTGTTTTAAAGTGTTACTAGATTTGGGGGTGGTGGTACAAGCATATAATCCCAGCATTCAAGAGGCAGAGGCAGGACCAAACAATGAAGAACCAAATTTAACAGAATGTTACCAGGATTATACTACCATTGCTTGGAAATTTTGTGTCACATAATTTCCTTAATAAAGAAGGTACAGTGACTCCCTTGCCAATCAAACCACCTTTAACTGTGCTGGCAGATGGTTCCAAATAAGAGCCTTAGCCATGCAAGACTGAACCATGGGAGAAGCCAGATGTGGGGTATCCACCTGCAAACCCGGAATTCTTGTAGTGAGATGAGAAACAGACAAGAAGAGTCTGAAAGTTAAAGTTCTTGGACCAAATAGCCTCAAATATGTAGCACAGCAGCAGAAATATCAAACGCCCCTGCATCAACAGGGTCAGGGGAATGGAATTCCAGAATTACTCTCATGTACACATATAACCCTCACACACAACAGTTCACCCACACACACAATAATTAGTAGGGGTTTTTGTTGTTGTTCGTTTGTTTTTGAGACACAATTTCTCTGTATTTCTCTAGCTACCCTGGAACTCACTCTGTAGACCAGGCTAGCCTGGAACTCAGAGATCAGCCTGTCTCTGCCCTCTGCCTCCCTAGTGCTGAGATCAGAGGTGTATGATTCAGCTACCACCACCGCCAGGCTTAATTAGTAGTTTTAAAAGAGCCTTTATGAATATCTCAATGACCTTTTACCATATATGGAGGGTTTTGGACTCCAAATGGCCACTGTAGATGGGAGGCTAACATGACAACAATATTCCAGGCTCACTACCCAATTACACAGCCCATGTCTCAGAGAAGCAAGTATAACTTGAGTATTTTAAAAATGTGATTGAGGTAACCCATGGGGAATCCTGGGACTCATATAGAGGAGCTCATAAACTGAAAATTATTGTTGTAATGTAAAGTATTATTTGCCTTTTTATTCTGATAATCACATAATTGTACAGAGATTACTTGATTTATTAATATCACAAGAAATTGAATGTAGAAGCAAATTGTATAACTCAGGGATTTTTAGGTTTTTGATGATTTTCTTGTTTTGTTTGTTTTAATAAATAAGGTCTCACTCTTGCCCAGACAAGCCTTTAACTAGAGGCAAGTTGTCCTGCCTCAAGTTCTCCAAAACTGGGATCACAGGCATGAATCACCATGTATAAATGGACTGTTTTGTGTATTTTTTATGCTGGACCTTAGATTTCTTACAGTTATTAGTCTTGTCTAACATTAGTGGATTTATCATTGTTATTTTAATCATGTGTGGTAAGCAGAATAACCAGGCCCTCAAGATGTCTACTGTCTTCTAATCTCTTTGGATATGGTACCTTGTTAAAAAAAAAAATTGTAGATGTAAGAGTCTGTTGATCCTACTACTCAGGAGGCAGAAGCAAAAAGATCTCTAAGTTCAAGGACAGCCCAGTCTACATAGATTGTTTCAGGCTGGCTAGGGCTACAGAGTGAGACCATGCCAACAAAAACAAACAAATAAAACCCAGAAGTTTTGTAGTTCAGTTATTGCAGCCATTCTTAGTATGTAGGAGTTATGAGTTTAATTCACAGTACTAAATATAAACTATTTTTGAGATGAGAAAACCATTTTTTATTATTTTGGTAGGCCAAGTATGATTATAATATTGAAGGAGGATGGGAGGAATGAGACACTGTCTTTGAAAATACAAAACTAGGGCCTGGTGAGATGGCTCAGTGGTTAAGAGCACTTGCTGCTCTTCCAGAGGTCCTGAGTTTCAATTCCCAGAAACCACATGAGGACTTACAACCACACATGGTGACTCACAGCCATCTAAGGGGATCTGATTCCTTCTAGCCTGTAGATGTATATGCAGCAGAGCACTAAAATTAAAAAAAATAAATAAAATACAAAAGTGTTCGTGAGCCAAAGGTTGCAGACATTTTCAAGAAGCTGGAAAAAAAGGCAAGAGAAAGGCCTTCTCTTCTAGAGCTTCCAGAAGGATCACAGCCTTAGTACAATTTGATTTTTAGTCCTTGGGATTAATCTTAGCTCTCTGGCCTACAGAACTCTGATAGTAAATTCATGGCTTTGTTTGTTTGTTTGTTTGCTTGTTTGTTTGTTTTTTGAGACAGGGTTTCTCTGTGCAGCCCTGGCTGTCCTGGAACTCACTCTGTATACCAGGCTGGCCTCGAACTCAGAAATCCGCCTGCCTCTGCCTCCCAAGTGCTGGGATTAAAGGCGTACGCCACCACCGCCCGCCTATTTTTCACAATTTTAAGTTCTAGTATAACAAATGCCAGTAGATATAATCCATACAAGTTAAAGCTCTTTGCAATTTTCAATAATATTCTGAGGTCTTCAAGCCTCAACCTGCTATGGAGCTGTTACCCTAGGTGTTAAGAGGACTTCTAGTTCCTCTTAGGGTGTAAGAGTCCTGAGCCAAAAATTGAACAGCCACTCTCTAAATGAGTTCTGTGGGGTGTTTGCTTTTCTTGTTATTTTGTACCTTTTTCTTCCCTTTTCACCTTAATTTTTGCTTTTTTATTTTCTTTTTAAGAGTCTTTACACAATCCATGCTGGCTCAGCAGCAGAGCCTTGCTATTATATCTATACTGGCAGTGAGATAACTTTGAGTACAGGAGTCCCAAGTCACCTTCGGGATCTTAGAAGACCTTGTCTCAAAAATGGGGAAGTTTAGCTGGGGTTTGGGATGGGGTGTAGCTCTCACTTTTAATCCCCGCAGCGGATCTCTGTGAGTTAGAGGCCACAGAGCTAATTCCAGGTCAACCAGGGCTACATACACAAACGGGAAAAAAAAAAAAAAAAAAAAACTGTCTCAAAACAAAACAAAAGCAATCAAAAGTTTAGACAGAACCAACTCTTGCAAGTTTTCTCTAACCACCATAAGCACGCAGTGTCATGCGCGAGCCCAATCATAAACGCAAAATAAATAAGAAGACGGTGGCTTAGGGCAGAACCTAGTATAAAGCGACAGTCCAAAGAACTTGGGCCACATCTGTTTTCCTTAACCCCGCCCCCTCTAAATTTCTTAGCCTTTTGCTTTGTTACTATTGAGACCACTGCGGCCACCGTAGGCAGGCTGCAAGATGGCGGCTTCCATCTTCACGGGCGCCGTGAGAGCTGCCTCAGGTCAGTCTTCTATTGACGGCTTCGCTGAGAAGAGAACCGGCACGGGAGGGAGTGGGCGTTTAGTTAGGATGTTAACGGGGAAAGACAAACAAGATGATTTGAAGTCGAAGGTTTGCTGCGCGATACCTTGCACAGTGTAGTATCCGTGACCCGCGTTCACTGGATCCACCCTGCCCTAGGAAGCATACCCGAGACTGAGGTAGAGGAGACGAGGGTGATGACACCCAAAATTCCATATATATATATTTTTTTCTTTTTCTGATTTAGAGGTTCAAATGCCTCTCGCGACCTTGACCTTGAGAGTCATATAATTTCTCTGACATTTTTGATTCTGTAGCGGTAAAATGGGGCTTCCTCCCACCTGCGGATTAAACAAACTTGTAAAACATCGAGTATGTTTGAGAATCTTGTGTAATTATCAAGAGACTGGCCTAATTCGTTTTTAACTACACTCCTCTGATGGTGGCGGCGGTATTTAGGGGTGAAGGCAGAACCAGGTAGGAAATGTAAACTACTCAAGTATGATAGAGATGATCAGTAAGTTACTTGCACACAACTTATACTGTAGAGATAACATTTGTGGAAGAATATACAGAGGACCAAGAGGGGAAAAAGTAACCATATAAAATTTCCAGGTATTAGATCTTAAAAATGGAACTTTTGTGAGTTATGAAATATGTATACTAAAAAGTTCATATAAGGGGACATACGTGTAACTAACACCAGTTCAAGACAAGCCCCTTCCCACCCTGTGCATTGCCCCTATCATTACTCGTTCTTCCCATAGCCACTTAAGCAACTATACCTTCATCTCATATATATTCATATACCTAGCATATTTTGTCTCGTTTTGAACTTTACATTAATTTTTATATAATGTGTCTAGTGTAATGTCTGGTTTTCATTTACTCAGAGGGTGCGTGTGTGTGAAACTTTTTGATTTCTGACTGCTTTTTTTTCTTTTCTTTTTTTTAAAGATTTATTTATTTTGTTTTTGTGAGTACACTGCAGCTGTCTTCAGACACACCAGAAGAGGTCATTGGATCCCACCCATTACAGGTGGTTGTGAGCCACCATGTGGTTGCTGGGAATTGAACTCAGGACCTCTGGAAGAGCAGTTACTGCTCTTAACCACCGAGCCATCCCTCCACCACCACCCCCGACTCTTTTTTTTTTTTTTTTTTTTTTTAATGAGACAGTTTGGTCTTAAATTCTCAGCCCTCCTTAGCTTCTACAGGCTGAGATTTTAGGTATTTGGACTCCCAAACCTGCCTTTCTTCAGCACATCTTTATCTGCTGTTAGCATTATTTCAATGTTTTCTTCAAGCTAAACTCTCTTAATCGTTTTAGTGTTTTATCTTGTATAACCCTCTCCATAATTTAAAGTTGAGGAAATGTGTATAGAGAGGTTAGTAAGTTGTTCCTGTTCACACCACTAGTTAAGTAGGAGCTGAAATTAATACTAGTTTGGTTCAAACCCTGTTACTTATTCACCACATTGCCCCATTTGTTTTGTGAAATTAGTGCAGAAGACAGTGGAACCCTGGTCTGAGTCTTGCATGAGGTTAGGTAGACACGACTTGGCAGTGTTTTTGTTGCTTTGAGAAAAGGTCTCACTAGATAGCCCTGGTTAACTGGGCACATGCTGTGTTAATAGTCGTGTTGCCCTTGTACTTGGGGTTCTCCTGCCCTTGTCTCTGGAGTGCTGTGATTGCAGGTGTAGGACTCTACATCCACATCAAATTGTTGCCAGTGTCTGGTTTTTTGAGATAGTATCTCCTGTAGCCCAGTCTGGACTTGAACTCTGGTCTCCTGCTTCAGCCTCCTGCAGACTGGACTTACTGGCATATCACCACCATGCCAGGCTTGGCCTTTACTTTTTTAAAAGCTAACTTCATTGAAGTACAATTCCGTATATTTGTGTTTGTGGCTATGCTTATGTGTGAGGGTATATACACGTGTGTGCGCCTGCAGACACATGTCTGAGATTGCTCTCAGGAGTGATCCATCTTGGTTTTTGAGCCTGAGTTTCTCTCTGAGATATGGCACTTACCAATTAGGCTAGGTTGGCTGGGCCACAAACTTCCTGGAATCCACCTGTCTCTCCAGTGTTGGAATTACAAGTGTGCTCAGCTTTTTACATGAATGCTGGGCACCAAACTCAGGCATAGGAAGCATTTGAACACCCGAGTCATTTCTCTAGCTCTGAAATACTCACTTTTGTGCATCTAGTTTAGTGACAGAAATCATCACCAAATTCCAGTCTTGGCATCTCATGGAACATTTTTAATATGTATGTATGTTCTTGAGTTTCACACTAGAGTTGGTTAGAAAGTACTAGAGAAGTAAATTGGTTGATTCTGATCTGCATAGTGTTCTTAGGGAAAAGCATTGATAATGAGGATAGCCTTCAGTTCATGTATCTCTGCCTTCTCAGCTCTACCTTCTGGCTGCCCAGCTTCATTCACTGCCTGTTCCCAGGCATTTCTACTGTGGTTAGGAAGCCATGCACAGCCTCTGGCAGACCAGATTCTGCCATTCCCATAGCTCTATTTGTTTCGGCGCCAAGGGGTTTGCTGATGTTGTTTGTCCTACCCAAAGTGGGCTCTCCTCCTTGGAGGGTCTGTATGTTCTTGTTTTGCTTTCACTTTGTGTGTGCGCATTATGTGGGAGTGTGCATGCTAACACACGTGCGTGTGGAGGCTTGAGGTTGGCACTGAGTGTCCTCTGTGGCTCTTCAGCTTATTTTTTTGTGTTGACGCTCTCTCGGAAGCACCTGTCTCTACCTTTTTTACCCTGGGACTGCCATGGCAGCATGTCCTGACTTCACTTGAGTACTGGGGCTCCTAACTCAAGTTCTTATGCTTGTATAGCAAGCAGTCTACCCACTAAGCCATCACCTAGCCCTTTAAAAAAAGTCTTATTTTTATTATTTTAAATTGTGTGCGCACGTGCGTGTGTGCATGTTCATGTGTGTGTGCATGTGTGTGCATGTTCATGTGTGTGTGTGCATTGTGCACACATGCCTGTGTGCATGTTCATGTGTGCGCGTGCGTGCGTGTGTGCGTACATGTGTGTGTGTGTGTGTGTGTGTGTGTGTTCACGTGCACAGACAAATGAGCTCAGGTGCTGGGGAAGCCAGAGTTGGCAGACCCCTTGGGGCTAGGGTTACAGGTAGTTGTGAACCACACGATGTGGACCTGGCAACTGAACTCAGGTCCTCTGCCAGAGCAGTATTTACTCTAACCACTGAGCAAACTCTCCAGCCCTTTGTTGGTTTTGTTTGTGTTTTTATTTTGTTTTTCTGAGGCAGTGTCTTATGTAGCTTAGGCTGACCTCAAACTTGCTCTGTAGTAGAAGATACCCTTGAGATCCTGATTCTCCCACTCTACTTTTCAGATGTTGAGATTACAGGTATGCATCACTATGTCCAGCAGGTTAGTTCACTATCAGGATAATGGAAGCACCTACTCTGTTTTCTTCATCAATCTTTTCTCCACTCTGTCCTTCCAGCTTTCTGTCTCTGATCTATCATTGCACTGAATCTGGAGGGGCTGTCTCCCCATGGTATAAAATTGGTGGAGGACAGTTAATCTTACACATAGTGAGAATGAGGAGTTCCTTACTTCTGGGCATAGAGCGTACAAATACCGATCTGGATTATATGATGGCTTCAGGATTCTAATTTTTCTAAAAAAAACACTGAGTATATAATAATCATTTATTTCATATGTAAATTATAGGTTGATGAAACTGGTAAAAAGCTTCCTCTGCCAGACGGTGGTGGTGCATGCCTTTAATCCCAGCACTTGGGAGGCAGAGGCAGGCGGATTTCTGAGTTCGAGGCCAGCCTGGTCTACAGAGTGAGTTCCAGGACAGCCAGGACTACACAGAGAAACCCTGTCTCAAAAAAAAAAAGCTTCCTCTGTGAATCTGGCATCAGGAACCTTCTGTTAGGTCTACTTTTGTCTCCATGCATTATAATACATGGGTGTATGTGTTAGAGTATATTCAGTACATGGACTTCCCTCTGTCTCTGCAGGAATATTTCGTCCCTTGAATGTCTTGGCATCTTCAACCTATTGGAACTGTGCCAGGAATGCCTGTCTCCGTTCTGCACTGTGCAACATTCATTTTAGACATATTCAGATGTCAGTCGTTTCCTCTGCTCCAAGACTTGTCACATCTGTTGGGCACTTGGCATATGGGCACACTGCAACAGTCCTTAATAGGTAAAGTACATGACAATAACATATTTAAAAAATATTTACACAAAATTTTCTAAAGTAGCTATGCCTGGGCTGGGCGTGTAACTCCGTGGTAGAGTACTTGCCCCCAGATCTGTGAAGACTTCTCTTCTATCTCTAGTACTGCAAAATCCGTAAAATGTGTTCAAGACATTTTAGAGGTAGATCATCTTACCCTCCTTGTGGTTTAGGGTATGTATACACTTGGCCTGACTGAGGAGGAGAGTGTGATTGGCATCTTAGATGCCGGCAACAGGACTACACAGAGCACTTCCTTCCCACCTGGCTGTGTAGCCTTAGCTTGTAATCATCCTCCGGCCTTAGTCTCCTGAGTGCTAGGATTACAGGTGTGCACCCACCTTGCATTTTACATTTTACAGCACAGGGGAATCTAAGGTCTATTTGAGCTAGTCTAGTATATTACTAGTGATGTCTGCCGCCACCCTGGCCTCCTTTCTGATGTTGTTTATACTGTTTCCAGAAACTGTCAGGCAAACCAGAGATCAAATGGGATGTTCAGCTTATGTGGCTCGGCTCTGTGGGAGTCAGTCAGTCAGTGAGCAGATGCTCAGTTAAGCACCCTTAGGTACCCTCCACTGTAGTTGCAGAAAGTACACAAAAATAAGCTGAAGTCCTCATGGAGTTTATACTCAGGTAGGCAGATAAGTAAGAAGCTATGTGATTAAAGTACTGTGGATACATTCTCTTAGTGCTGAGTGGGTGGGTTTTATTTTGGGTGTTAACAAATCGACCCTAGAGTCTTGTATGTGCTAAATACAGGTTCTACCTCTTCCTGTGGGTGTAGATTTTAGAAGGCTTAAAGTTAGGAAGGTTGCCATTCTTCTTGACATTAGTATTGTGTTGAAAATCAGTTCCTTGCCCTTCACTCAGTCTGTTCACTACATTTTACAACTGTATTTTAGAGTGGCCACATTGGTTCCCAGTGTCCTGAAGCCGCCAGTCAGAGCTCTGACATACTGCAGCAAACGCAAAGGCAAGAGAAAGACGGTAAAGTCGGTCGTGCATCGCTTCCTCCGACTTCACTGTGGCCTTTGGGTAAGGAGAAAGGTGAGTCTTTGTGCTGTGTGAGCCTAACCACGACATGCTCTCATCTTACTGGTAGCTCTTCAGTGTCATGCTGAGGTGCCTGCGGCTTCTCAGTATCTCTGTCCATCCTTGTGCAGAGAAAGGGTGTGAGTGGGTATAGCACTGTTCAGAGGAGCAGGCGCAGTCACTGTGGGAAGGGCTGAGAGGGTTTTCCTCTATCTTAGAGAAATCGGTAGATAAATGTGTATTAGAACTCAGCTCATAGCTGGCAGTGGTGGTGCATTGAGATATGTCAGTGAAGAGCCTTGGCTTGAAAGGACCCATTGACTGAACTCCTTAACAAGAACCTCATTTTCTATGCTCAATTCCACACATGTGAGTGGAGCTGCTGCTGACTTCAGAGCCACCAGGTCCTCCTGAAGGTAGAGCTGCAGGCAGTTGTGAGCTGCCCAACATGGGTGCTGGTCCTCTAGAAGAGCATTATGTGCCCTGAGCCATCTCTCAGTCCCTTAAGTTTCTGAGAAAAAGTTTTCTCACTTAACCTGGGGCTCACCAATTTTTCTAGCCTGCTTCACCAGTAAGCTCTGGGATCCATTTGTCTTTCTGCTCACTAGCGGGGTTACAGATGTCCACTACCATATCCAGCTTTTCCATAGGTTCTGGGTTCCAAACTCAGGTCCTCCTGGTTGCATTATAAGTACTTTGCCCACTGAGCCATCTCCACAGCCCATTTTTGGTTTTGTTTTTTTCCAGACAGGCTCTTACCCTGTAGTCTGAGCTGGCCCTCAGACTCAACTAGCTCATTCATTTATTTCTAATTTTTAAAAGGAAGATTTGTTTGTTTGAGTAGTCCTAGCTAGCCCAGAACTTCCTATATAGACCAGGATGGCCCTGAACTCAGCAGAGGTCAGTCTGCCTAAGATTTATTTTATTTGCAATTATTTGTATATGTGGGTCTGTGCATGTGAGTAATGTACCCATGGAGGCCAGAGGCATTGAGTCCTGGGGAGCTGGAATTATGGGTAGTTGTAAGCTACCTGCATTACTGCTAGGATTGAATTCAGGTCCTCTGAAGAGTGGTGTGTGCTTTTATCTGCTGAGCCTGGCTCTCTTTTTTTTTTTTTTTTTTTTTTTTTTGGTTTGGGTTTGGTTTTTAGAGACAGGGTTTCTCTGTATAGCCCTGGCTGTCCTGGAACTCACTCTGTAGACCAGGCTAGCCTTGAACTCTTGAACTCAGAAATCTGCCTGCCTCTGCCTCCCAAGTGCTGGGATTAAAGGCGTGCGCCACCGCCACCCGGCAAGCCTGGCTCTCAACTTTCAATTCTCCTGCCTCAATTACACAAATTACACATGTGTACCCCACGTCCAACTTGTGATTTTAATTTAAGTAATCTTTCCAAAGTATTAAATTATTAATACCTCTTCTACACATGCTTTTTTACCTACTACTTATTGCAAAGAGAAACAACTCAGTCCCTGTAGAAGTCTGGCTTTGCTCCTGGGGCCTATACATCATAAGTTATGGAGTATCTGCTGTTGCCTTTGCAAATTTTAAAATGTTTTTGGAACATTGTCTTATAGGCTGGCTATAAAAAAAAATTATGGAAAAAGTCAACTGCAAGAAAGAAGCGCTTGAGGGAATTTGTGTTCTGCAACAAGACCCAGAGTAAACTCCTAGATAAAATGACATCACCTTTCTGGAGGAGGCGCAACTGGTACGTTGATGATCCTTACCAGATGTACCATGATCGAACAAACCTGCGAGTATAGTTCAAAGCTATCAGAGTTCCCAGCTATGGAATGTGTATCTCTGTGTATGTGATGTCCTTGCAAAAGTGAGTTTGCATTAAACTGTAAACTGTACCAGCTGATAGGCAAGCCTGGGTTACCACTGATGTGCATTAAACATTCTCAAAGTTGGTCATAGAACTAAAAGTTAAATTTAGTGTGCATTATTTCAAAAACTGGTAATGGCTTTCCTTATTCCTGGAATCTTGGGTGAGGAAAAACATGAAAAGACACTTAACAGTGGGCCTTTGCGTGGGATCGAGATTGTATCCAGGGCTTTGCACATGCTAAACATGTGATGTAGATATCCTACAAGCCTATTCCCAATATGATGCAAGATGTATTTCAAAAACAAGTACCTTGGAACTCAGGAACCTCCTCACAGTCTCCTACCTGAAGCAAGGGAAGGGCAGGACTGGATGAAGCAGGAGATGGTGGAACTTTATGCCTCGGCTCTAGTGTGTGTGTGTGTGTGTGTGTGTGTGTGTGTGTGTGTGTGTGTGTGAAAAAGACAGAAAGAGGGAGAGAGAGAGGGGGGTGGGATCTACCCACCATCACTCTGCTTAATCTTGGCTTTTGTTAAGTAAAGTTTCTATCCATCAGACTCTCTTCAGCTTGAACCTTTGGGGTTCCCTTTAACATCACAACCCTCAACTCTTTTTCTGTGTTCCTTCTTAGTTGCCAGGGAACTCTGAGTGGGCCGTCCCACCTTTTCCTCCTAAGTCCTAATCCATGCCACCATGCATTGTAGAGCTTGTCTGTTTGTGGCTCAAGACCCCACCGGGCTCTCTTAGTTGTATCAACAGGTTCATGTGGAGTAAAAAGGTAGTTGTGAGCTGTTCTGCCTAGAGGTCCATAGGGTAGCAGTGCAGTTTCATCTTGTGTCCTGAGTTCTTTGTATTATGACAGTTATCACTAATTTTACTGTAACAGGATACTTTTCATAAAAGTAAATCACCTTTCCACATACCCTTTTGAAACACACAGCTATTCAAAAAACTCTTTTTGCCCAACTTTTCTTTTCAACTTTACTTTTTATTTTTTATATATGAGTATTTTGTCTGCATGTGTGTATATGCCCTCGGAGGCCAGAGGAAAGTTGTTGGGTCTACTGGCATTGGAATTACAGATGGTTGTGAGCCATCATGTTGGTGCTGGGAATTGATCCTGTGTTCTCTGCAAGAACAGCCAGTTCTTAAATGCTGAATTGTCTCTTCAGGCCTCTGACCAACTTTTCTTTCTTTCTTTCTTTCCTTCCTTCCTTCCTTCCTTCCTTCCTTCCTTCCTTCCTTCCTTCTTTCTTCTTTCTTTCTTCCTTTTTCTTTCTTTCTTTCTTTCTTTCTTTCTTTCTTTCTTTCTTTCTTTCTTTCTTTCTTTCTTTCTTTCTTTTTGGTTTTTTGAGACAGGGTTTCTCTGTATAGCCCTGGCTGTCCTGGAACTCACTCTGTAGACCAGGCTGTCCTGGAACTCAGAAATCCGCCTGCCTCTGCCTCCTAAATGTTGGATTAAAGGCGTGCGCCACCACCGCCCAGCTTCTGACCAACTTTTCAAAGGCACTGTATTTTTTTTTTTAAAGTTTATCCACTTAAGATTTCTTATTTTCATTTGTAAAGATGAGCTTTTTTTCCCAGAATTCTCTAAAATGCAGGGTGGAAACTGAGGGTGGAAGAATTCCCAGAATTCTCTAAAAACGCAGGGTGGAAACTAAATATGTCATTTAACGAGACAGATGTATCAGCTGTGCTCAGAGGGCAACAGTATCATTCATTTTAGAAATGAGAGGGGTTGGGCCTGTTAGTACTTGGAGAATGATGCAAGAGGTACTTACACATTGTTTACTAAGAAAGATGGAAGAGATGCTGCAGTCCAAGAGAGTGACTCTCAGCTCTCCCATGAAAATTATCTGGAAGCATTTCCAAACAAAACAGCCGTCCTAGTTGAAAACTTTCATTAAATAGAATTATGAATGAATTACTGTTCGGAAGTCCGTTGATGATAACATGAAATTCCACCATGTAGTAGAATAAGGTAATCAATTGATGTTTCCATGGCAAACCAGTCCAGGACTTTGAAGGCCAATCATTGAAGCCAGTTCTTGTGTTCATTAAATGGAGAGAGATGTAGAATGTAAAAGCAGAAGGCCACGTATGTGTGTGTGTCTGTGTGGGACTAGGTTATAGAGACCAGGCGTGTGACTTGAGCACCTCATTCACAAGTGGCTCTGCTCTGGTGGCTCTTGCTGTGCTCCCTGCTGAGGTGCCAGGAGCTGAGTGCTGGGAGGCGCTTGCATGTCCTCACCTGCACAACTCCTGCACATCTGTGGCCCTGGGAAGAGCTGCTCCTGCTGCAGAGACGAAGAAGGAAGACCATGCGCGCCTTAGTCCTTTCTAGAGTTCACGTGGATGGTTCAGGTCTCTGTTACACGGCCTCAGTACCTTGGCCACAGACAGGCTTGGCAGAGAAGGACAGCAGACTCAGGCTGACGTAGAAGGGCTGCAGGCATACTGCGGTGGAAAGGGAACTTCATACATACAGTTTTTGTTTGTGGGTAGGGGAACCTTTCATCAAAGCTGAGTTTTTAGTGTGACAATAAAGCAGTTTGCATTAGGGCCTGCCTAAATGATGTTCAAGTGTATGCATAATTGTTTATTTACATGTAATTTATTAAACACTTGTCATATTTCAGCAAATCCGCAAAACTCTGCTGGGCCTCATGCCAACCGTATACAATCTTATACAAGACCTATCATTTATCCCTGGTATAAATTGAAGGCACTAAAGCTTACAGTGGCCTAAATAAATTACTCTAAACTATAGCTAATGCATCCCAGATCCCCAATCTAACTCTTTAGAATCTTGTGTGCTTCCTTTGATTTTCTAACAATATAGGATACTCATCTCTTAATCAACAGATGACTGTGACCTGACACAGTAGTGAATACTTACTTCTACCAGTTCAACTGAGTTGTGTGACTTTGCTCTCTACCTGTCAATCTGTTGGTGCATGGCCCTAACTCAGTAAATGAGTAAATGAATGAATGGATTTCTAGTTTTTCTTCCCATCTCTTCTTCCTGTTTTCTGCCCTCTGAATCTTCTGCTTTATTTTCTAGTCTGTGTACTGTAAAAACAAAGAGAACAGATCTGTGGTCAACCGATGCTTGAAGGTCTTTGTGAACTCCCAGTGAGGCTGGAGTGAGCCTGCTGCCTTATTGTTTGTTGGCTGGTTTTTGAGATAGAGTCTTGATTAGCCCCTGCTGGCCTCAAATTGATGTGTAACTGAGGATGACCTTGAACTTAGGATCCTCTTTGTCCCTACCTCTCTGGATTCTGGGATGGATGGATAAAAGTCATGTTATATCACATCCTGTTTCTGCAGTGCTGGAGACAGAACCCAGTGCCTTGTGCATTCTATATGAGCACTCTGTGACAGCTATCGCTCTGGTATCTGATGCTCATAGTTTCAAGGCAAGCGGTGCAGAGTGTTAAGGGCATTTTTACCATCCACAGTGGCTCTCTGCATGTGTGCAAGCCTGTTCTAACCTGCAGAGATAATCCTCCATTTGCAAGTGAAGAAAAACTCAAGATGGAAGCTACTACCCAGAGTTCTACTCACACAAATAAAACTGCTTAGCAGTGAACTACTCATATCCTCACAAGTTCCCAGTTTCCACTGATCTTTAAAACAGTAGGTCAGTGACACTTTGAGGTTAATATCTGTCTCATCTGTCTCATCAGCTGAGTTTGTGAGACATATATCAGTGATGTTTTCCTCTCAGACATCCTATATAGTAGGCATGGGTCAAATTTCCAGGCCAGGGAGTGTAAGCACTTGGTTTCTAATCCTTGTTACCTCCCACATTTAAAAGCTTTAACTCATTTATACTTAGAATTTTTACTTTGGCTTTGTATTTTTGAGATGGGGTCTTATATGTTCCAGGCCTGCCTTGATCTCTCTATATAGCTGAAATTCCCTTGAACTTCTGATTCTCCTGCTTCTACTTCTTGAATGCTAGAATTGCAGGTTGTGTCCCACCATATCTGGTTTATAAGATACTAGGGGGAGGCAGTCTGCCAACTGAGGTATATCCCTAGACTGCTTCTACATTCTCTCTCTCTCTCTCTCTCTCTCTCTCTCTCTCTCTCTCTCTCTCT